GAATTCAGACTTCTAGCATTCTGAACTATGAGAAAATAAATTTCTCTTCGTGAAAGACACTCACTTGTGGTATTTTTGTTACAGCAGCACTAGGAAACTAAAAGAAAGACCTTATTTCTTTTTCTTTCTCGTGGTACTAGATGTGGGGCAAGTTGTCTGAAGATCTGTGTCATATTTATACATTTTTAAAACAGGTATAACAATAGTACCTGTCTCATAGATTTATTTTATTAAATAAGTTAATATATGTTTAGAATACATATAGTAAGGGCTCAGCATATGTAAGCTATTATGACCAATGCTTTCTCACTAAATAGTTTTCAGAGAGCAGGATTGACATGTTCCAAGATAAATTCAGAGATAAACTTTTTAACTAACTGTGTGTAGACTCGTGTGTTCCAAAAATAAGACCACTGACTATCCCGGCAATGCCTAATTTACAAATATTGTGAATAATCTCTGTCAGCTGCACTAGATGACTATGCCTTGGAACCCCTCATGTGAACCCCAGCTCACCATACCCTTGCTAGCTGACCTTCATCCCTCACATTGAGATGCCAATGAGATTCTCTCAATGTGCTGGTCTCTCTTGCTCAGCAAGTTTAATGACTCTATCTCTGTGTACTCAACAGGTCACCCTCTAGGGTAGGGGCTCAGACATGTGGTAAAGACAAAAGGCTTAGGCTTTGGAATGAGTTAAAAAGGCAGATATGTGGACTGTTCTGAGATATGTGGTAGAGATATATGTCTAAAAGAATAAGATGATGGTTAGATGTAGAGTGTGGAGTGGGTGAAGAGAAGAATCAAGGCTATATATTTTTGTCTTGGGTTGAGATGGTATTATTGAGATGCAAAAGATCATATTAGAAACATATTAAGGATTGTTCATGAGCTCTGAATGTTTTGGAGACATTCAGCTTGAAATGCCTATTAAACATTCAAGTGAAAATATGCAAGTAGGTAGTTATGCAAATTTTAGCACACAAGTAACACAGTTACACCAAATCAAGACTTTTTTAAAATAGCATGATGAAGTGGGAGGCAAACCACAAGCAACACTGTAAGGAGTACTATCTGCTATGTTCAGAATTAGAAGAACTAGCAAGAAATAGGACTATGGCAGAATTTTTCAAGGAGGAGAACTTTTCAACTTTAATTTAGCTTCCATCTTCTCTTCAAACTGGAAAGTAGAGCAAGCAACATAAAGAATAAAACATAGTCAACAATATGTGACACAGAGAAAAATAAAAACAGACTCCACCCAACAACATATAGCACTTATTATAGGTTATATCAGTTAGGATTATTTCACTTGTTAATGTGTCATTGGTACTTAAATCCTAACCCAGTGAGGTTTAATGAGAAGGGTTACTGAGGTGAATCTGAAGTTAGTTTGCCTTCCAGCATGGCTGGATAAAGAGAGTCTTACGACACTATCAGACAGAATTTTCCCTGTCTCTTTGTTTGGCTTGTCTCTTTTACATTTGTTGGCTTCAGTCTGAGAAGGATTTTCTCTTCATGTCACAAGTTAGTTGCCATGAGTTTATGGTGCTGTATCTTTCCACGTAAGAGGTCTGGTGAGTAGTGCCTAAGGTATTTGACTATGAACAAGAAGGCTAGCAGTTCAAACTCACCAGCCACTCCTCAGAAGGAAGATTGGGCAGTCTACTTCTGTAGTGATACCATCCAAACCAGACCCACTGCGGTCCAGTCAGGTCTGACTCAAGCGACCCCTCCTTGGGTTTCCAAGGCACTATCACTATGGAAATAGATTGCCTAACCTTCCTTCCAGGGAGTGACTGGTGGGTTTGAACCACCGTAGTGATAGAACCTCAGAAACCCAAGAAGGGGTGGCTATGAGTTGGATCTGACTCCACAGCAGTGTGTTTGGTTTTGTTTGTTTGGATCTTCCCAGGTGTCATTCAGAAAAAAGCAAACAAATGAACAAAAAAGCCCCATTTTACAACAGCTCCCAGACTAGTTCTAAGATTCAAACTCATTGCAAGCCCTTCTCTCAATCATCCAGTGCTACTGGAGTTTGGTGGATTGATTGGTTTAAGTCCGGGTCATTCCCTGGATGTGAGATTGTATCTCACACAGATGTCTTAAGAGTCTGAGCAAATAAAAATCAAGTACTTTTACCACAATGGAACAATGAATGGGTGCTGCAAACAAACAAACAAATAAATAATAATAAAGTGTCTATTTAAAAGTATACATATATTTAAATAGATACCTAAAAACCAAAACCAAACTCATTGCTGTCAAGTGGGATGCAACTCATAGCGACCCCTCCTTGGGTTTCAGAGGCAGTATCACCACAGAAGTAGGATTGCCCAACCTTCCTTCCGAGGAGTGGCTGGTGGGTTTGAACCGCCAGCCTTCTGGTTAGCAGTCACATGCCTTTGACACTATGCCACCAGAGCAAACAAGTACAAAAATAAAGGAATGAATGTATAGATAAATCTTACTTGGAAAAAGAATTTAAAAACTTTAATAGTAATGTTAGGCCACAGGTAGGTCTGTTGAATAAAGATCTGTGAATGCACATACTGAAGGGTGCAAGGGGTGAGATGTTTAGGCAAGAATATGAGAAAACACTTTATTATGAGTTCAAATATAAAGCAAACGTATTGGTGGTAAAATATAGCAAGCAATATAGAATCTGAGAAATAAAAATGGATCATACTAACTAGAACATACTTGAGAAACTGCTGTTTGCAAACATGCATGTTGCAAACATGCAACACATGTTATAAAAGAGAAAGCTGAATGAATTGTTATGGTTTCCACTGTAAATACATTGACACTACACCCCTGAAGGGAGGGAATTGGCTCTCTCCAGTCAATGGCATTCCATAAGCAACGGTGGGGTGAAGAAAAGTAGGAGAGGAAGAAAACCAGTTTTTCAGGGACTCACAAGTTTTTCCAATGTTTCACGTATTAGGAAACAAGAATGTTTGCTTATGTGTGATTTAATCCACAAGAGAAACATTAGGAAAATGCAGAAAACTATACTCAGCTGAACTGAGCTATGTAGAAATAAACAAAACATGCATGTACATACCTCAAACATCTACCGGTTGCTTCAGTTCACTGAGTGTTATAACCTGCACCCACCCCCATCTAGTGTTAGAACTTCCTGTGCCATTTCAGATAACACTCTTTCACCATGTCACAACTCACAAGCTGCAACCTTTCCAATGCCCTCTTCTGAAAGCACATATGATTAGTTTTTCAAGGTAAAGTATATTATTTATTACAGTAGTTATATATATTTTAATAATTTACTTTGTTGTTGTTGTGGAGAATATACACAGCAGAACACACACCAATTCAACAATTTCAACATTTACAATTCAGGGTCACTGATTATACTTTGAGTTGTGCAACCATTCTTATCCTCCTTTTCTGAATTGTTCTTCCTCCATCAACATAAATTCACTGCCCCATTGCCCATCGCATCTTACCAGTCCCTGTTGTCAGTTTGATGCCATGTAGACACATAGTAAAAGAGCACAATGCTCAAGGCACACATTCTTTATTTTGTTGTTGTTATGTGCCGTCGAGTCAGCCCCGATTCATAGCGACCCCTCCTTGGGTTTCCGAGACAGTATCACTACAGAAGTAGGATTGCCCAACATTCCTTCCGGAGCTCGGGTGGTGTAGTGCCTAAGGCATTTGACTGCTAACAAGAAGGCTGGCAGTTCAAACCCACCAGCCACTCCTCAGAAGGAAGATTAAGTTGAGCTCATTCTTTATTAGTTAAGCTAAACTGTATATTTAGACTTAAGAAAACTTCAGAGGACATTTTTGGTTTAGAGTTTAAAGATGAGCTCAGCACAATAGTTTTAGGGGTTCATCCAGCTCCAGAAAATCTAGGTTCCACAAAAATCTGAAATTCTGTTCTACATTTTCCCTTTTTGATCAAGATTATTCAGTAGAATTTTATATTAAAATGTTCAGCAGTGGTAGCCAGGCACCATCCAATTCTTCTGGTCTCATGGCAATGGAAGCAATTAGCCCCACTTTCCATTTCCTCCTCTTATGCCTGACTCTCCTTCTTCCTTTGTTGCTCCTATTTTTAAAAATCATTTACATGTGTAAAACTGTGCTAAGATTTTATATTAGTTTCCTATTTTTTTAATGTGTCATTGATAAAGTTTTTTGAGTGCTGTGTTCCTATCTCTACTTTACCCATTGAGGAAAAAAAAAAAAAAAACTAAACTCACTGCCATCGAATCAACTCCAACTCATAGCAACCCATTTTGGGTCAGTAAATCTTTACAGTAGTAGATTGTCCCGTGTTCCTTCCACGGAGTGGTTAGTGGGTTTGAACCACCAACCTTCTGGTTAGCAGTCAAATGCCTTAGGCACTATGCTACCAGAGCTCTTTATTTTCCCCATAAGCTCCAACAATTTTATTGATTTTGCATAGGTGGTGATTGTTAGGAACACATATGTCACTGTATAGCAAAACCAACTACACCTTTAAGGATCACAGATAAAAAATGTATGAACCTATAGGAGGCTGGGGTGGGGATAGGGTTTTGTAATGGGAAATATTGGATGAGGTATGAGAACTCAAGAAATCAGGACATACTTTTAGTATCCATTTTTATGTTACTTTTTCAGTATTCTTTCCCTTTTGAACTACTTAGCATTTGGTAGCCAAGTTTATCTTCTCTAGCCTTCTATCTGCTATTATATACAAGGTGTGGAACCTGTGATACAGATACAGGGAAGTATCCATGCTGAGGGTGTTGGTGCAATGGCTTTAGTCTCAGAACACACAAATGAAAGCTGATCTTTAGGAAGAAAAGTCAGGACTTTAATGTCTGCCCCTCATTCCACCAGAGATTCTCCATTCTTTGCCAGTTTTGGATGATTTAGATTCAATTTTATCTAGAGAGAAGATAGTTTCAGTTACAATTACTAGATACCAAAAATGCCTCCAAGCACTAAGATAGCTTTTTTTAAAAAATTAATCTGAAACCTACCATCTGCTGGTTTTTCACTTGTGTTACAACATGCTTGTCTCTCCAGTCAAATTTTACTGGGAAGGATATGTTAGGGATTGAAATTTGTATGTCTCCTAGGTATCTGGGATATGTAGAAGGTTTGCTTCTCAGATAAATTGCTGAATAGAAACATGAAATGAAAAGACAATCAATATTTAGAGGGAAGTCCTTAGGATTCTATTTCTAGGAACTTTTCAAGAAGAAACATTTTGTAGAAACTTTTCAAGAAGAAACACACCATTCTAGATTTTCCTTTGTGTTCTTCTATTTCAGGAAATACACCCAGCTGAAAGCTAGAAAAGACAAGAATTCCTAACATAAGGTTGGAGTTAACACATAAAATGACATGTCTGGTAGAGTCAAGACAATAATAAAAGTAAATATAATTGACATCATTCCTTTTATCATTAGCCTATGGAAGCATGGTTGTCTTGAACAGAAATTGCATTGAAACCGGAAGAAATTATAAAAGCAATGTCCTTTATAGCCAAATAGAAATGTGTATAATTATACTTTTTAGTGGCTGCACAAAGAGTTAAGCACTTCACTACTAATGAAAAGGTTGGGAGTTTGAATCTACTCAGGTGCCTCAGAAGAAAGGCATAGTGATCTACATCCAAAAGATAACAGATATTGAAAACCCTACAAAGAACAGTTTTACCATGAAATACACGGGGTTGGGTTGCCCTGAGTCAGAATCAACTCAATGGCAATTGAGCTTTTTTTTTTTTTTTGGTGGGGCTGGGGGGCTTGGCAATGAATTTCCTTTTTTAACTCTCAGCACCTGGTATGCTTGACAGTTAGTTCATAAATATTTAACTGTTACTCAATTTATTAGATTTACAATTAAACAGTTCCTCAGAAGTTAAATGAACTAGTTAAAATTGGGAAATTAAACAATTCATAGAAAAAGTAGACCATACCTTTAAACTCTTCAGGAAACAAATAAGAAAATTGATTTATTCCATAGGAAGCAGTAGAGCTTTCATTAGAAAATACAGAATTTAGATATCGATGTCTATTAATACTTTCCTGAAAGAAAAATTTTAAAAAATCTTATTTATATCAAGCATGTTAACTTTCCAAGTCATCTGTATATCACTAACTTTGAAAATATGTTTCCAAAAGTCACTAATTTATTTATATTTTCCAGGTAATAATGAAAGATTATATAAGATATCCAGATCAGATTCATAATTGTCGTATCAGAACTACTCTCTAATTTCAGATATAACAGCACGGGGAAAGATGTCATACCCATATCTGAATCTTTTTTCACCAAGCATATAGTAAACACTAAATGTATGTTTGTTGAAATGTTGGCTAAACAGAAAAAAAAAAAAATAGCAAATAAGCTCTAGGTACTACTATCTATTGTCAACTAATAGATATTCATGTAATTAAAAAATCATGAACATTGAAGTATGTCTTTTTCATCTTTGTATTTCCCAGCACTAAGTAACAAAGCATGAAATAAGAAATAAGTAAATAAACAAATAAATAAATTGGATTCTATTTCAGCTTTATAGATAACTGTATTTCATTTAGGATGAAAGCTTTGTGAAAAAGATGCAATTCAGGAAATGTTCCAGAAGATAGATTGATTTTGCTATTTGGAGGGAAAATGTGACTATTATTGATAGCGCTTTCTGCTTTGTGATAATATATGTTGTCTTATCTTTCACATGAACATGACACAATTTCCTAATGCTAACCAGCTAAGTAGGGTAAATAAAATTTCAGGAGACTATCATTTGGATCAACAATCAACATCCACGGATACAGCAGTCAAGAAAACAAATGACATATTGCATTAAGCAAATCTGTTGCAAAAGGTTTCTTTAAGGTTTAAAACACACACACACACACACACACACACCTGGGGCCACCAAAAACTGGATAAAATAAGGAAGTATTCTGCTGGAGCAGAAGAAAGATCAATGGCCCTGCCAATGCCTTGAATTCAGACTCCCAGCTTCCAGAATGATAAGACAATACATTCTGCTCTTTAAAACCACCCACTTTGTGATATTTTGTTATGGCAGCCATAGGAAAGTAAGGCAACCTTGTTAAAGAAATAAAAAAGGAAACTACAAATTGAAAGAAAACTTTTTCTAATCCGCACAAAGGGCTTTTATCCAGAATAATAAAGAATACATTCAACTTCATAATAAGAAGAAAAATTATCAAAAAAAGTGTGAGCAAAAAATTTAAACAAGTTACAAAAAAAAAATAAAAATACAGTTAATACACACATGCAAATATGCTCAACATCACTACTTATTAGGGAAATGCACACTAAAACAACAGTGGGGAACCACTTAATACACACTAGAATATCAAAAGTTAAAAAGACTGACAATACTCTCATATTGCTTGGGGGAATGAGAAATATCACAGCCATTTTGGAAAATAATACAGCATTTTTTTAATATATAGCTAAACATACATTTAACCAGAAGGCTGGCGGTTCAAACCCACCAGCCACTCCTCGGAAGGAAGGGTGGGCAATCTACTTCCATAGTGATAATGCCTCGGAAACCCAAGGAGGGGTCGCTATGAGTCGGGGCTGACTCGACGGCACACAACAAGAAACATACATTTACCATATAATCAAGTAATTCTACTCCTAAGTATAAGCGCAATACAAAAAGGTCATGAGGCTGTGTTGTCTGACCTCCTCTGACTTCATGAGGGAGAGAAAGAGAGAATCACCATCAGCATCAACAGGCCAAGGTTGATTCTTATGAAGTGGAATCAGACATACCACCACCCTCAAACCTGTTTGACAGTTCTGACAACTAGAGTACTCTCTAGTTCTCTGCTGGGTTCGATAGTTCATTGCAATGGCCACATAGAGCACATGGACAAGACTCTCAATTATGGGGTTTATTAGGGAAGTAACAGATTACAATTCGGGTTTAGGAGTGCTTGGGATATAATTCTTCAACCAGGACAGGCTTCCCTCAGCCATGCCTACAGGCACGCCTCTCTTTGACCCTTGGACTCTTGGCCTGGTCTCTACCCTGCTTGGACAAGTGTTACAAAGCTCTTTTAGCTCTGTCAGTAGGTGCCCAGGGAGGCTCCCCACTCTTCCAGCAATGCTCCTGACTGAAGGCATTCAGCTTTCTCACTTCACGGACAAGGAAACCCATCACTCCATTTCGCACCAGTCTTTGCTGCCAGGACCTGCTCCTGGGGTCTGGTGCTAGCATTTCTCTGCTGCTGCTTCTTACTATCTCTTGCTTCTCAGTGCAGTTTTACAGCTCCCTCTCTGTCTCCTGGGTCAAGGAGATTCAGCACAGCGATCTCAAGTTCAAAGGACGTGCTCCACTCTTGCCTCTTCTTTCTTAATGGTAGTGAGATTTCCCCTTTCTGCTTCTGGGATGGCTCATTTTAAGCCTAGCAAGTTGGTAAAATTGACTAATCCCAAAGTTAGGTTATTTGCATGTCCCCACCCCCACAATGGTGCCATGTACCTTAATTAGATTATTAACAAGCTATCGAACCCACTTGGTAGGTCACAAGCAACTCATATTTGTAAAATCCCACCCAGTCATCTGGTGGGAGTCACAAAACCTATGGCAAAAAAGGCCATATTAACTAATTCACTGCACTGAACCCAAGAAAAATGAAAATATAAGTTCAAACTAAAGCATGCACATGAATATTAATAGTAGCATTATTTATGAAGCTCAAAACAGGAAGCAAGCCAAATGCCTATCAACTGGATTATTAACTAAGCATGGCGTATCTATACTATGGAATAATATATAGTAATAGAAAAGAACAAAATATTTATACATTTAACATGAATAAATCAAAATAATACTATGACAGTGAAAGAAGTCAAATGCAAAAGTCTATATACTCTATGATTCTATTTATATAAAATTCTAGAGAAGGCAAAAACACAGTGAGAGGGGGAAAAAAAAAATCAGTGGTTGTCTGGGGCCAGAGTGAAAGGAAGACTATCTGCCTAGTGCAAGTGGCATAAGAAACTTTTTAAAATAAGGAAATTGTGCTATATTTTGATTATAGAGGTGATTACATGATTTTATATGATTATGAAAATTCATCAAATTTAAATTAGTAAATTTTATTACATGTAAATAAAACTTGAGTACACAACAATATATTTCATCAATATTAAAACTGTTTTTGAAAAGTTTTCTTTGAAAATTCTCGTTATGGATTGAGTCAAAAAGATATGTTGAAGTCCTTCTTCCAAAAATTAACCAATGAAACATGAATACTACTGGACATAGTGCTGGAAGATAAGCCAAAACATATCAATGACCACAAAGATGGTGCAAGGTTGAGCAACATTTTGTTCTGCTGTACATAATGTTGTCATGAGTCACAACCCACTTAAAAAAAAAAAAAAAAAATTCATGGCCGTCGAGTCGGTCCCGACTCATAGCAACCCCTCTTCAGGTTTCTGAGGCTGTATCTCTAGAAGTAGATTGCCCACTCTTCTTCTGAGGAGTGGCTGGTGGGTTCGAACCGCCAGCCTTCTAGTCAGCACTCAAATGCCGTAGGCACCACACCACCAGAACTCCCTCACAACCCACTAGAAGGCAACTAACAACAACAAATGAATTAACAATGCCATCTTATTTTTGCTTATGAAATTTGAGCATTATTTATAAAAGTAAGATTCATTCAAGAGGATATTGGGAAAAAGGAACATACACATACATACAGATAAGCTATAATCTGGTACAGTATTTTCCAACCCATTGCTCCTGACTCTGTGCCAACTCATAGCTACTCCCATAGGGTTTCTAAGGTTGTAATCTTTATGGAAGCATATTGTCTTGTCTTTCTCCCATGGAGTGGCTGGTGAGTTTAAACCACTGATCCTTTGGTTAGCATATCAATGCCTTAATTACAGTGCCATCAGAGTTCCTTGGTACACTCTTTTTAGAGGTTTAAAATTTTATAAATCATTTGACCCAGAAATTCTAATTCTAAGAATTAAAAAGCATGCATTGAGGCAATATATATGAATATATAGCTACTAACATTCAAAAGGTGCATTTATAGTTCATATATATATATGGCTGGAAAAGGGAGGTGGTAGTTTAGCACACTTTTTCCACATCATTGGAAGGAAAGTGTATGTAAATATATCTTATTAAGTTGTTTTTGTAGGCTATATGTTTTCTAGGGTAAACAAATATTACCTCTCTTAGTAAATATCAGGTTAAAGCTAAAATACAATAAACAAATCTATATATCACCATGTGCTCAGTGAGTTCCAAAGTAATTCTCTTAACTTTTTACAGGTTAAGAAATTTATTTTATCATCTGAATTTTAGTCACTCCTTTTATTAACATCAATTTAATTCTGAAAGAAATGAGTATGTCACTGATTTATTTTTAATATTCATATCTCTAATATTCAAAGATAATTCCAGGAACAGTTACTTGATTTTAAACTTTAGCATATGTTTGAAAGACAAAATGCCTCTGTAAATATATTTTCTACTTGTTGCCACTTACTGTTCTTTGATTTATGTCAGCAACAGCTATGTCTGCAAGGCTTGTGAAAATGTTGCTCTCTTCCACATTTCAACCAGGGCCAACATCTAGAGGAATTCTATCTGTGAATTTTATATGTCATTCCAGTGCAATATTCCTGCCATTTCATGGCTGTCCAGAGCCATGAAACTATTCAATATTTATCATTGGTGACTTTTTTGCCAAGGGCAAAATACTCTAACTCAAAAGTATTCCATCCACCATCTCCCTACACCTAATCCCAATCCTGTTCTCTTAATTCAGCAGGTTCAGTAGAGTACTTCCCAGGAGGCTTCTGAACAAAGGATAATTCCTTTCACATCTACACACAAACTCTTATGGATGGATTTCTGTAATATCGTCTCGATTTGCAACATTCTGAAATGTTTTAACACATAAACGTATAGCCTATTGCCTATAAATCTTTTACTATATACTTAACCTCTCAGAGCTTTCTTCATTGACAAACAGGGTAATACCAATCTGGTTAACTGTAAGGATTAAGCAAGGTAATGTTTGGAGAACATATACTGTAGTGTCTGGCAGAATACATGCTCAAATACATGCTCAAATACATCCTGCTGAATCCTCCTTTTCTCTAGAAAACAGAATATTTAGATTATAGAAAATGTCATTCAAAAAACATGCTTTCGGATTTACTTAGGTTAATGTGGAGCCAATCTTTCTGGTAGAATGGAAAATGAGGACAAATTATATACTGAAAACAATCTAGAGCTTCAAAATAGTATTATCAATATATCCAGGAATACATATTTTCCTCTTTGTTATAATAGCAAGATGCATATCCAGTTTACGTAACAGTGGCTTTACATTATGAACATTTTCAAAAGTCCTGTATTTCATTCCTCAAAATTATCTCTTTTTCACGAGAATTTTCCAGTGCACCTTTTATTGTGAAGGCACATTTCCTTAAAGAATCACAAATGAATCTATATCAAGAATTTTCTGGATTATCATATTAAAAAACCTCTGTGATGGTGCAAATGGTTCGTGCTTGACTACAGGCAGTCCCCAACTAGACCTGTTCCTAATTCTTTAGGTTGAATTTTTAGGTAAATTGGAACAGGTGCATATGTTTTTTACTTAGCTTTACTTTAATGCATGAAAAGCCTCAAAGACTTTTCAATGATTTAACAGATGCATATGCAGCAAGGTGTTCGTGATAAATAAATTATGGTGAGTAGAAGTTGGTTCAATCATTTCAAAATTAGGGCAAATTTACATATCAATAAAGGGCAAGCAGTGCTACAGGCACTCATCTGTTTATGCCAAGAAATGTGGAAGACTGCTACCTGGCCAACCAACAGGCAGAGATTCATATCTGTGTCCATTTCAAAGACAAGTGATCCAATAGAATGTGGAAATTATTGAACAATATCATTGATGTCACATCAAGTAAAATTTTCTGAAGATAATTCAAAAACAGTTGTAGCAGTATATTGACAGGAAACTGCCAGAAATTCAAGCCAGATTCAGAAGAGGGAGTGGAATGAAGGATATCATTGCTAATGTCAAATGGATATTGGCTGAAAGCAAAGAATACTAGAAAGATGTGTACTTGTGTTTTATTGACTATGTGGAGGCATTCAACTATGGGGGTTATAACATATTATGGATAACACTAAAAAGAATGTGAATTATAGAGCACTTAATTGTGTTCATGAGGAACCTTTACACAGACAAATAGGCACTCATTAGAACAGAACAAGGGGATACTGCATGGCTTAAAATCAGGAAAGGTGTGCATCAGGGTTGTATCTTTCCACCATACTTATTCAATATGTATGCTGAGCAAATAATCAGAAAACCTGGACTATATGAAGAAGAACACAGCATCAGGATCAGAGGAAAACTCATTAACAACCTGCAATATGCAGATGACACAACTTTGCTTGCTGTAAATAAAGAAGACTTGAAGCACTTACTGATGAAAATCAAAGACTACAGCCTTCAGTATAGATTACTTCTCAACATAAAGAAAACAAAAATCCTCAGAACTGGACCGAGAAGTAACATCTTGATAAATGGAGAAAAGACTGAAGTTGTCAAGGATTTCATTTTACTTGGATTCTCAATCAACATCTATGGAAGCAGCAGTCAAGAAACAAATGATGTATTGCACTGGGCAAATCTGCTGCACAACACCTCTTTAAAGTGATTAAGAATAAAGATGGCACTTTCAAAACTAAGGTGTCCTTGAACCAAACCATGGTATTTTCAATAGCTTCATATATATATGAGAGCTGGACAGTGAATATGGAAGAGGGCAGAAAAATTGATGCTTTGAATTGTTGTGTTGGTGAAGAATATTGAAAGTACCCTGGACTGCCAGAAGAACAAACAAATCTCTCTTGGAGGAATTACAGCCAGAATGTTCTTTATAAGCAAGAATGGCCAGACTTTGTCTCTCATAAATTGGTCGCATTGTCAGAAGGGATCAGTTGCTGGAGAAGGATATCATGCTTGGTAAAGTAGAGGGTCAGTGAAAATGGTGAAGACCCTCAATGAGATGCATTGACATGGTAGCTGCAATGATGGGCTCAGGCATGGCAATGCTTGTGAGAATGACCCGGGGCCAGGCATTGTTTTGTTCTGTTGTACATAGGCTCATGCTTGGTAAGGTAGAGAGTTGACGAAAGGGGGGAAGGCCCTCAACAAGATAGACTGA